AAAACAACTCGGGAAATTCACGAAGCGTTTTTCATCAAAACAAGAGGCGCCGATAAGCGTATCAGTGAGCCGTCTGTTGCCCTGGTAGATGTTAGATAAGGAAAGGTATTTTTAAAGAAAGTGGGATGGCTTGAAGTGACGTTGTTTTATCAGGGTATTTAAATCACTGTGTTTTTAATCAACTTTCAGTTGCGAGTGCGCTACCTGTGTCGTCACCTTCTTCACTTTATCTGTATTCTTCGGCGATTCTTTCTAAAAAAAAAGCGAACATTGAGGGAGCCGTATCTCGGTCCTAACGTCTCAGTGGGCCAACAGAATCTAGTTGACGGTTTGGCTGTTGAACAGGTGGGAGAGGACTTGCGAGCGCTTTGTTTTCTAGCCACTGAATCTCGAACCTAGTCGCGCGTCCCAGTGATTGGGCCTACTAGGGGCGCCTATAAAGTTATATTGACAGGAACAGATAGACATTTAGCCCAGAAAACGCGGTAGGGGTTAAGACGTTCTCTACAGATACGCCCCCCAAAGTCCCGCACTTTCACCGGCGATGGACAAACGTGTCAGAGGTCATTGTTGTAGAACTCTTAATGGTGAGTGTTCAGAGATCGCTTCAATGCAGCAATAACTTGGTCGTCGTGCTTGAAATGCTTTCCGGCTATAGCACGTGATGTCTTTACTGTGCCGAAACTGAAGAAGCGCGGGCTCGTGTTGGTGCCCGCTTTGTTCTCCCTTTTGTAATTTTGGGTGCCGATAATACAAACTTTATGAACGCCCCTCACCATTGGAAAAAGGTGGATTGAAATGTGTTCAGCGCGGCGGACGACATCTTGACGTAGAAAAGAAGAAAGATCTCCGACGTCAAGTTACTAGGTGAAATTGCCCCGTCTGAAGCGGTCCTGCTTCAGACGGGGAAATTTCACCCAGTAACCTGACGTCGAATCACCAGCAACACGGGCTGCCCGCGTTCACACGCAGCAACCGAATTGCTACGACTTGCCATCATCATCATTCAATTTGATTTTTTTTGCACTATTTATATGCACAGTTATAGCAAAAAAAAACATGTTTTTATATCGTTAAATTATGCTGAGAATACTAACTCATCTTTTTGAAACAGTTCATTTTCAAAAAACGATCCATTTCAAATTAGAACGAAGTTTTCAGTTGTAATCATCACTACCACAGGGGTGTCACGTGAAAATATCACATTCCTAATTGGCTGCTGCCGCTTCAAACGTCTCCAAGTTGTCCAAATTGCTCGTCCGTTTCGAGCCGGGCAGATCTCAGCAAATCGTGTCGATCTAGGGAAAGTTGAGGAAAAACCCGAGAGCAACCCCGAAATTGCTGGAAAAGTTGCCCCGCCTGAGGAGGGCCTAAGACACCCTATTGTCTGGTACTGAGACCATTTGTGAACGTTCGGGTGTTTAAACGGAGTACTACCCTTTTTACAAAAAAAAAAAAAAAAACAGCAACAAAAAGAACAATAAAAAACACATTTCAGAAGGAAAAGTTAAGGAAAGAGAATGTGTCATTATGTTCAGTGAATTTTGGTGACAAGACTCGGGACTCGAGCAGGAATGCCGTTATCCTTGGTGTGACCCCATGAGACTGTCTTGCTGCCTTTGCTGGGGTTTATCTAACTGAAGTACCTGCACGAAAAGTAGAAGAAACATATGTGCATAGAACTCATTATTCACAAGAAAATTTGTCAACATCCAAAATGACCCATGGAGAAAATTATGCGAGGAATTCTTCGGCCACGTTGGCCGAGTCGTCTCTCGTGGCCAATTTTTCATTGCAACATTAATTGTAGTGAACAGTTTTAGGGTATATTACAAAGTGCAATTTGGTTTTGTACAAAACTACGACACACAAAACGGCACTTTAATACAGTATGTTGAGGTACCTCTGAACAAATTCCAGGGTTTTATGGTGCCTCCTTCAACTACCTGATGTTGAACATGAAATATGTGCACCAAGGATGAGCAAACAATGACTTTCAATTAGTCTCAAGCACCAGCGACATGTCGACAAGGAGTGCATTGTGTAGAAGGTCGTCTAGAAGTGTGCAGCAAATAATGAGGGAACAACCCTCATTATTTTATCGTGCGAACTGACATTGTCACGTATCGCGTTCGATTTGGGTTCCAACACCGGTAACCTAACTTTTGTTGCATTACAACAACTGCAATAAACATTTGTTTGAAAACGATCACTCCAATAAGCACGTCGTTCTTGGGATTTCTCATTGAGAGGTAAGTCGCGGGTGTCCTAGCTAGTTGTTCTGAATGGTTTGGTGGTTGTCTAGCATTTCAAGCGCGCGAGGCTGTGTGTACTGTGTGCCGTACCAACAGCCGTACGTACTTGCGCTTTCGATTATTGATGTAATCGCAACACTTAACGTTTGTGTTCTGTGTGTGTATCCACCTCCACTATCCTTCTCTCTCGTATTACCGTATGGTAACTCCTGCTGTTTTGCGATATCATTCACGCAATGTCGTATATGTGGGCATACCGATATCCGCATGTTGCTTCAGGGACGATCAATATTGTGTTACGTTTCCTCTTTGTCCCCGGTATATGCCGACGCAATTCATGTTGGTAACTTGGAGTTCGTTCTGAGATATATGCACGCGATGTCGTATTGTATTCTCCTTTGGGCCCGTGATCGACTACCGATATTTATATATCGTGTGGCCGCAGAGTATATCCATGTCGGTCACCAATATGCACGCGATGTCGTATTCTATTCCAATAACCGCAAGTTCTATCGGGATATTGTGCTCCGATATGGTGTTGTATACCAATAGTTGCAAGTTATATCGGGATATTGTGCTCCGATATGAATTCCCATCGTGCGTATTGGGTTAATCGGATAACAATAAGTTTTTATTGGTTTCCATCAACTTCATTGGAATAAAATATTTCCAATAAGCCCAGTTCATGTTGGCCTTTTTCATTAGGGAAGATACCCGGAGCTGATTACGGCGCGAAAATTGTACAATTGGAAAGTATTCAGAAAGATGCGATTGTGGAACAGGGCGGGGACACGCTGGCAGAGCTTCAGACTGACCCCTGACTCCGCGTCCTGTCCCCTCACAGACCCCTTCCTACAGCCGCTCGTCTGGAAGGCCGCTCACACACACTTGCTGACAAGAAACAGCCTCACTTCACTCCATATGTCACATGAATCGAGTTCACAGGTCCGTGCCAAAGAGGATGCCTCGTGCCTGTGGAAACACCATTAATTGCATCTTGAACACATTTCAAGAAGGTGGCGGCACGAATGCCTACTCGAGTTGCGATCGGCGCACGAGTATCCAAGCCGCCAGTTGAGCGCACTACGAGGAGGAGACTTGGTGCTTGTTGAAGAATGCAAGACTCCGCTACTCATGTGGCGCACTGGAACTGTGAAAGTACTCTTTTACGGCAGGGATAAAATCGTAAGATCATGCTCTGTGAATTTACCGAATGGATAATGCCCAAGCGACCTGTGGAACTTTTATACCCCATAGAACTCGTAAGATGAATGAGCGTTTCTGAATCCGCTCATTTCGGGGGGAGAGTGTTGTGAATTGCAAAAGACCACTGGTAGTGCAAGGAAGAAAAAAAGGAAGATCCGAGATCGGCAGAGGCACGAGAGGAACGTGTCGGTGGCGCGAGACGGAGGTCGGCTGTTGAACTGCATGATCAGTGCTTCCTTTGACTGTATTGCACATATGTAAATATCTCGCTCAGTAAATAAGTGGTTTGTTACCGTTGAACGGTCTCGAACGACGTATTCCGCTAAAACCACAAGGGGTGCATAGTGTTTTACTGTTTAGGGAAGTGGAGGGCGACATTTCAGTTGCGGAAGCGGAAGTTGGGGCTGTGGCTCGCTGATTGCATAGCCCCGAGCAAACAGCGTTCCAGTGAGCTTTCTAAACTATAACTTTTGTGGAAAGTTAATGCACAGGTAGCATGGTCGACTGGTTAATCGGAAATTGGCGACTTCGGGCTCCCTGAGCCTATGTTATATAGCACTCCGATGGCGAGAAGGCCCTCTGAGAGAGAGAGGAACCTTCCTCGGAGTTCGAATGCTCACGTGGTGTTCGAGGTGCGGGGGCGGCTGATGCAATTTCCGGGTGTTCTTTCAGCGAGGGGCAGATGACGCTGTACCTCCACGTTCTTGCTGCGCTCCGGTGGATGATGCAAGGAGTCGACGCCGTTGCCACTCGAAATGAATCACAACACCGACATACCCCCTCCCCCCCCCCCGCACACACACGCACGTCGGCGTTCCTCCATGCGAGGGCTGGCGATCACAGGTGGTCTCGCGGCCTCCGGAAGACGTTTCTTTTGTGTTTGGAGCCCTCATTGAATGCCACGACCGGCCCGATGTTTCAAGGGTTGGTCTGAGGAATCTGAGGGTGGCTCTCTGGCGTCGTTGGCCCCAGCCGGGATGCAACGCGACAAGAGGCTTACCGCCGTTGCGGCAGGTGAAGACCAACTCCAGGACGGAGCCAAGGAAGGCAGTTGTAACAAAGGCCAGCCATACTCTTCTCCAGCGGTCGGCGGGAGAAAGTGGTGCAAGGAAGAAGGCCGGCATAGCCATTTTCTGAGCGATCGTGGGCGGTTTGCTTCTTGTTACCGCCATGGATATCTAGAGCAGACCAATTACCTCCAGGAAGGTGAGCATGGCTTTGAGAACTCGGTCCTTGGTCTGTTCTGATCCGGGCGGTTTTTTACTTGGCTCCGCATGTGAAACCCAGAGCGACGTAGGCCACCTTTACCCCCCATTCACACTGGAAGCGGATCCGCGTTCGCGAAGCGGTTGCGAACGCGGTTGTATAAAGATCCAGTGCAATTGCACGCGCATTTGATGTCATCAAGTGCGCGTGCAATTGTACTGAGTCCTTATACAACCGCGTTCGCAACCGCTTTGCGAACGCGGATCCGCTTCCAGTGTGAATGAGCCCTAGGAACTGCTCAAGCGTTATCGTGTTTGGCGCATTTCAGGACGAGGTAGCCGGTGTCGGCCCACTCGCCACAAGCCTGACAGTCGGGGTCAGCGTCCCACCGCACGTAGTGATTGCGCACTGGGGTCATGCACTGTACGTCCTGAGACGGTAAATGACGGCCGCTATCGGGCCCTGTTTCTTGCGCCTCCTCGCCCATTCGGCTTCACAAGCATCCAGTGAGCGAAAAAGACACCGGAGACGCCGCCAAGAAGGCATCAGGGACGACACCGTGGCTCTGCTCAGAACAGTGTGTACGTGTCCGTGTGGTGCACCTGCTCAATTTTATTAACTGAACTACCGCATATCTGGAATATACACAGCGGCATTGTGAGTACTTGGAAAGATATATTTGGGGACAAACAACTCGGTTGGCCCTATTTGTTCTGATCGCTGTCGTCTTCAGTCGTTTGCGACCGGGCTTTAGCAAACGTGTATTCTTGTCGTTGTTTTGAATTACAACATGCATGTAAACCTCAATGACTGAAATAGATTTTCAATAGCGTTTTAAACTGCATCTTTTTTATGTTTCACGGTCATTTGGGCGTCTGATGGGTTTATTGGCTAAGGGGGTTTTGGCTAAAGAGTCTGAGGGGCTGAAGGGGTTTGACGGTCTGACGGGCGGAAGGGGTTTGAGGGGCTGAAAGGGTTTAAAGTGCTGAGAGGATCCCATAATACATCAGGGCCGAAGAGTGTATTTTCAATAGGGTTCAATCGCCAAGGAGCGCTCATAACATAAATAACTCAGTTCTGTTGACTGCTCCACCGCGATATACACGTTACACTTGAAAGCCCATCATTTGAACGAGGACCATCCCAAAAGATAAAAAGATTACAAGTATGCTGCTTTCTCTTCGCCAACAATTTACACGAAATGTGGTTTATAAGGGTTGTTGAGCTGCATATCCAACTTAGAACATGGTAGGATACAATAATTATTTGACAGAATCGGAAAAGGCAGCCTCCGCAACGAGGCTCTATTTGGGTGTGTTGTCGCTTCTCCGTACTTAATATTCTATTGAGTCTAGTCTATTGAAAGTCTATAAAAATATGGTGACTGAATATTTTACGATAACGAAATAGGGACATATAAGACAGACAAACAGACAAACAAATGCCTGTTATGTCTGTTTGTCTTCTATGTCCCTCTTTCGTTATCGTAAATTATACACCGACACCCCCCACATCTACATTTGAACACACACTGTAGCGCACTACTGCAAAGGGCTACTTTATAGTCACTGAAAGTTTAATGACACATGATAATAAAAATTTTCTAGCATTTTCATCACCTGTACTTTACGCACTTCGGTTCTTCGGTTGAAAGAAAGTCTGTTAAAAATTGCCTATACGACTTCACTGGATAGGAAGTTGAAAGACGCATTAAAATTAGAATATGATTCATATAAACTGCCTGAAATATTTTTGAAAGCTCTGCATTGGCTGAAAAATAAATTTTAATGCAGTGGGTATTGTTACCACTGTCCCTTTCGGATAAAATGTTTTGTGTAATGCCATTGTGTTAATTTTGCATGGACACAGCATGTTGCTCATAAACAACCTTAAAGCGGTTCCGAGACAATTTTGAACATTGTTTGTTATGTGCGAAAAAATGGCAATAACATTTTTGTGCGCGGTTTCAGCAGCAATCATACCCTCAATTCGCAAAGCATACCTAAAGGGCCGCTCACACACTTGCGACCCCTCAGAAACGAATGCCCTAAGGCTCTTTCAGATAGTTGTGTTGGAGTGCGACTGCAACCACTTGCGCCTCGTTAAGAGTGCTTGCGTCGAACTGTTGCTATGGCAATCCTTAGCACGAGCGAATGGGGAGGTGCTGTGCTGCACGACGCAACGCAGCACCACACAGTAAACGCAACTCTGTGAACGAGCCTTTAAAACCTCTTAAAATCTCTTACCTCGAGAGAGCATACTCGCACTTTGGCGCCATCTATGTCGTGATCCTAGAACTACATTTCACTAGAGTGAAGATTTTGTGGTCTTCGCGAAGACAAATGTAAAGTACTGCTTATGGGAAATGTTCGTTCGTCCCATTTACAAAAGTATTTCAAGCCGAAAAAAATAATAATGCACGAAAGAAATGGGAATTATACGGGATTACCAAGTATTCCACTGCTACCCGATAGGTGCTGCCGTGTTCTCTCTAGTAGAAAGATGTTTCAAGAGGTTTCAATGCACTCGGTTTTAAGATGTCGCATGTCACATGTGTATGAACGGACCCTATCAGTAGGGAGTCAAAAAAATATTGGAGCTCGAAAGAAAGCAAAAGGTGATCGTGTCCCGACATTGTTATCGCGCAGGTAGAACAAAAGCGGGTTTCATTCGAACAAACTACGCTTTATTACTTTCTCTAGGGCTGGGCGTGGATTAACAGTTTTAACTCGATTAATTGCCACCATTTCATCGATTAGTTAATTGGTTTATTGGTCTCGTTAGAACTTCAGATTGGGCGAGTTGCTCGTTCATGTTGGTCGACGTTGCTGGCACTAAACAAAACTGTCGCTCAAGCTTCCACACACACAAGCAACAAAACTCTTACACAACGCTCACTAACAACTTTGTATTGCGTGATTAACTTCTACTTTTACTTCAATCTGAGGCGATTTTTAAATATAAAATGACGAGAAATCAAAACGAAGAGGCAAAACATTTCTTCTGATGCTTAGGCGAACTGCCGGTTGAATGATCAATCGCTTTTTGTGACAGTATTATACATGGCGTACTAACACACTTGTCCTCCAGTCATATGATGTTCTCGGCTGGAGGACAATTTTGTAAGAACGCCCTCTGTAAGCGTTAGAAAAAAATGTGTTTGCCTTTTTATTTTTAATTGTTTTCTATTTGAAAATCATCTCAAATTGAACTAGCAGTAGAAACAGAAGTTAATCACGCAATACAAAGTTGTTAGTGAGTGCTGTCTGAGAGTTTTATTCCTTGTGTGTGCGAAAGCTTGAGCGACAGCTTTTTTTAGTGCGTGCAACGTCGACCAAAGGTCTCCTTAATTTCCATGCATATTATTTTCGGAGAGTCAAAATTAATAAATTTTTTCTGGTTTTGCATTTGTTGAATATGAGTTAAAGGGCGGAATATTCAATTTTTGTTATGAATCTACATTTATGCGTAGTTAAGAACAGTTCAAAGGCACTCTCACTCCTATTATTCAGCTGTAAGAGGTGAAGAGGTTGCGTTGACATTATCCGGCCAGAGCCACCTCTTTGAATGTTCACACTATAATCTTTGCTGCGGTAAGCGGACACTCGGTGGCGTTGAAATGGCCGGGATACGTGTAACCTTCTGCACTTCTCAGGAGTTACAAATCTTGCCCCTACAGTTTAATTTAGGCTACATTTTGGCCTAAAGTTTGGCCTTCATACAGGCGTTCTCGTCCACGTCTGCTTGGTGTAACCGCTTACCTTTTACTTTATTTTGGTTCGTTAAAATATTACCGATTAAGAGACTAAAAAAATAATCGCGATTTAAGCATTAATCGATTAATCGGTAGGTTAATGAATCAATTGCCCAGCCCTAAGTTTTTGTATCCTCTAAGTCGTTTGTTTACCGTCATTTCTACAGATTTCAAGAGTTCATAAAATCATTTTACAGGATGTGTGTTAGATCGAGGTCCAGGAACCGGCCCCAACACAACTTTCTTTTGAAGTCTCCTTTGATTGTTGTAGAGTAGCGGTAAGCAACATGAATACGTGAGGTAGCCTCAGATCTGGGGACATGGTAATCTCAGATTGAAAATATTCTGCACTGAGAAATCAGTTTTTATCGAGCAGTGCGGGGCTGTTCTGTGTAACACTTGTACAGCGAAAGAAGTCACATTCCACCTGGACGCACTTCAAGCCGCAGCTGTAAGCGTACCGCTTTTGACAGGCTTATCACCCTGCACGTTGTTTTCCTGCTGCATTTCCTGCCGCGAAGCAAAAACAAAAAACAAACACAGACTATACATCTGTCAAAAGCGAACGACGTCAAAACATACAGGCTAGGTATGGTACAAAATTAATCGCACTTGCCTATAACAGACGGAATGGGGTAGTTTCCATCCTCCCAATGCCCACATTGCACCTGCGCTTGAAACACGCGTAGTCTGGAAACAAAAGTTCGCGGCAGCTCGTATTCGTAATGGGTGCAAGCACACCTGCAATGTGGGCGCTGGGATGACGAAAAAAAAAACGGGATTTGCATGCCACAGTCCAGTGTGATTAATGCTGTAAGGCTGTACCGGCGCGCGCATTGACCAGGCCAACAACCTTGCAGGTGCTCCTCGTCGACGATGTTAAAATAATAATTAGTTTATTTCCATCCACATTGATGGTGGGGCTCGAGGGAAAATGCTCTTAAATACTGCTTGACAAGGCCCTCGACCCCCTACATAGGCACAACAGCAGATGTACAGAAAACAAAATGCTACTTCATGCGGAAGTACAAAACAGGTGGATAATATAGGCACACGACACACAATTAAAAAAGATTGAATAATCCTGGAAATATTAAACAAACCGCCAGATCACTGGTATTTCACCTATCTAAGTTTACAACATATTCTCTAAGTTCTCTAAGTGCGGGGGGGGGGGGGGGGGGGGGTTCCACTTTCGGGTTCAGGAAGACGAAGTGTGTTTTTATAACGACGTGCGAGGCGCAGTATAAACCGCGGAAAGTAAACAAGCAGAAATGAGAAAACACGAATGAAGTTGGCAACTCAGGGCTGGTTCACATATTTGCGTTTGACTGCAATTTACTGCATTATAATCCCCTGTAACCGCTAAAAGGGATTGTCCGGTCAAATTTTGTGTTCGAGAAAACAATTGAATAATATTGTTGTTGCCTCGAAACGCATCGTCCGTGCAATACCTAAATTTTATATGCCTCTCTGCAAGAGTAATTGAATTTTAAACTGCTCCAATTGCATCGTAGCGTAAATGGTGCTCTCGTTGGCAACATTTAAGCTGTGACGCCACATAACGCAAGGCGTACATTTCTATCTCGTCGTCAGCCTGCGAGTGAAGAATGCCACAGCGTGCTTCATTTTTGTTCCGCTCGACTTGATCCGTACATGGGTGAGATATTTGTTGCGCGGTTGGGTGCCACAACCACGGGGCAGCACCTGCGAAACGCGGGACGGGCAACGAAAAGCAAAATGGATCGTCGTCGTCCTTAGGGACACCCAGTGGTCCCTACAGACGACGACGATCAATTTTATTTTTCGTCAAGATCAAGATCAAGAGCCCGCTTATTCAGAAATTATTTCACAGAGGAGAGCTACGAGCTGATCTTCAAGCAAACCGAAGACTCGTAAGCTG